TTATTATTATTATTATTATTATTATTATTATTATTATTATTATTATTATGTTTACTCACGAACCTGGAGTCTTTCCTTTTCGGCTGCCGTTCACCTGTGTAGGGAGAGGAGGGGCAAAGAAAGTATGTGTGTGTGAGGGGTCACAGGTTTCAATGGGGCATGGCCAATGTGGGTGTGAAGGGAAAAAGACAAAAGAGACGGGGTGGGGCGGAGGGTGAGGTTGGTGCGGGAATGGGAGACGTGGGAAGAGAAGAAAAAATCAATTAATCGCTTGTAAGGAATATAGATCTAGGCAAATATTTATAACGTAAAAAATTAATAAAACTGTTATAATGTCAAAAATACTGTAAAGAGAAAACTCCCCAAACCCCCAACAAAAACTAATTTGTTTCCAGAAAAAACCCCTCCCCTCCTCCCAAAAAGGTCACACACACATTTTATATTTTCCCAACTAGAGACTCACTGTTTTATCACAATGTGTATTCTGTACAGTAATATCATACATACTTTTTCCTCATTGTAAATGGTATTGCATAATAAGATACAATGCCTTTTCTTTTGGTAAGTGTTTTACGGCGCTAGCAAATGCACTATGTCATATTAACTCACGGGACACAGTAAACATTTTAAGTTGGTAAGACATTTTGAATTTGCCCGGTTGGCGCCGAAGCCAACTCTTATCGATTTCGGACACAAAGGGACCTTTAACAAGCGCAACTTGCACACAGGACCTCCGAGACTTTTCGCCCTTCTCCGAGAAGGCTAGGAGTAGATCTTACCTACCATAAGATCAGGGGTGTGGTTAACAGACAGCGGTAAGGAGGAACCAAGGAGTAGAAGTAGAATAGCTGCAGAAAGAGTCAGGAGCCCAGAGGAGGGGGCAAAGGAGATTAGGGGGGGGGGGGAGGGAGAGGAAACCAAAGCACACGACAGACAATTTTTAGAGAGCAGGAAAGGATGTGAAAGGAGCATCATTTTAGAGATGAAAATTTTCCGACGCTATCGGATTCGAACCCGGGACCTATTGAATGAGAGGCAAACACCTTAACCTCTAGACCACGAAAACCCTCCAGGCTGATTTTGAATCGCCATTACAAGGTGGAGCCCCTTAAACAACCATGATCATCATGATCATCATGATCATCATGATCATCATGATCATCATGATCATCATCATGATCGTCATCATCATCATCATCATCATCATCATCATCATCATCATCAGCAGTAACAGTCATTGTCTCCAGATTTCCCGTCATCATCACCTTCGTTTTTTTTGAAAAGTAAAGTAGCCACGAAGAACATAGAGGTAAGAAAAGGCTAGAAAAAAGGTGCTTTCGCAGAAAAACCTGACAAAAAATCAACGCTTTAGGGTGTAGCAAGGCTAACAAACGTTTCTGGATATAGTTCAGGAAATGTCCAGATACTATAATATGTAATAAACCCAATTTGCAAAATCTGACCCTAAAACACGATTTCTAGGTGCCCCACCAGCCCTTAAGTATCAACTTATTAATGTTTCAAATTTAGAGAAGTACGACTCGTAACACTGCAACCACAAACAGAGGCGTGGAACGAACAAACATCAACTCTCCAGTCACAATTACATCAACAACAACAGCAACAACAATAACAACAGCAGCAATAACAATAAAAAAACAAAAACAACAACAACAACAGCAACAAAAATAACAGCAGCAAGAACCATAACAGCAACCACAGCTGTCACAACAACTATAACTGCAATGGTAGCAGCAGCAACAACGGCAGCAACAACAGCAGTAAAAATGTTAACAACAACAACAGTAGCAACAGCAACAAAAGCAACATCAACAACTACAATAACAACAACAGCAACAGGAACGACAGCAAAAACTGCTGTACTGTACACTCCATAAGGTCTTTTTGCATTTTGTCATCATTCACATTTTGTCAAATGCTCTGTTCAAAGAATGATCCAAGGAACATAATTGGCCATCGATTCCCCTGGAATTGTAGGGTATGGATTGATCAAACGTCCCTTTCTTCTCTTAATGCGTATTTAAAAGGTGGAACCACCGATTTAGCGTCCTTCTTTGAAAGGGCCGAGCAATGTGGGTGAAAAGCCCTGGAAGTTTCCCAAAGCTTGTGAGTGTATATATGTGTGCATGCATGTTTGTGTATTTTAGTGCTTGTGCTAACACATGTGTGCTTGGCTAGGTGAATGACTGTCTGTTTATTTATATGTATATATATATGTTTGTGTAATGCATTATATTTGTTTGTGTATAATATTATGTGTGAGCGAAAGAGGCTGTGTGTGTATGTCTGTGTTTATCCGTGTGTGTTTATGGGTGTGTGTGTGTATGCATGTATGTGTATATGTGTGTGTG